TTTTTATTTCATTGAGTTGATCTTCAATCTCTGATATCCTTTCTTCTCCTTGATCAATCTGGCTATTAAAACTTGTGTTTGCTTCATGTAGTTCTTGTGCTGTATTTTTCAACTCCATCAAGTCATTTATGTTCTTCTCTATGCTGGTTATTCCAATTAGCATTTTGTCTAACTTTTTTTCAAGGTTTTTGGTTGCTTTGCATTGAGTTAGAACATGTTCCTTTAGCTCAGAAATGTTTGTTATTAGCCACCTTCTGAAGCGTGTTTCCGTCAATTCGTTGCACTCCTCGGTCAAGTTGTGATCCTGTGTTGTTGAGGAGTTGTGATGCCTTGAAGGAGGAGAGGTGCTCTGGTCTTTGATGGTTTCATCTTTTTTGTGCTGTTTTTTTCCCATCTTTGTGGATTTACCTGGCTGTGGTGTCAGGGAGCTGCTTGATGAGGTTGCTTGTCTGCCCAGGAAGGCCAGGTTTCTGTAGTTCTCTAACATCACATTCCTATATAAATTCTGCTGTGCAGTGTCCAGGCATTACCACTCCTCCAGAGAGAATTCTATGGCCACATCCCTAAATGTCAATGCTTCCTCTGCACTCAGCACCCGAGTCTGCACCCGGCACCAGGCTCTGCACTCGGCACATAGATCTGCCGCATGGCTCCCCTGGAAGGCTCCAGCTCTGATTTTTTTCCAACTGCTCTATAGTGTACATAAGAATTACCTGATAAGCTTATTAAGCTACAGATTCCTGAAATCCCCCCTCACCCCAGAGATTGTGACTGCGTGGGTCTGGGATGGAGTCTTTGGTTGTTTGTTTGAGACTGAGTCTCGCTCTGTCACTCAGGCTGGAGAGCAGTGGCGTGATCTTGGCTCATTGCAGCCTTGCCACCTGGGTTCAAGCCATTCTCATGTCTCAGCCTCCAGAGCAGCTGGGACTACGGGCTCACACCATCATGCCCAGATAATTTGGGAATGGAGCCTTTGAATGTAAGTTCTTAATAAGCTACCTAGTGATACTGACACTGTCACTTCTGGGGCCACAAATAGAGTAACACTGCTATTGACTACAATGCTATGATGTGTAAATCTGAGATTATTACTGCAAGTCTTACTGAAACTAATAAAACTTTAAATTTAACTCCACTGTATGTTTTGACTCAAAGTTAATCATGTGACTTAATTCCACACTTTCTTTGTTTAGTAAGAAGCCATTAATGGTTATTCATCACCTGGAGGATTGTCAATATTCCCAAGGTAATTTTAGCTCCTGAGATTTTATTATAATACATAATATATCCAATATAAAATACGAAAAGTGACCTGGTAATAATAGCTATGAAGGCACTCAGCAAATTCCATTTAAAAAAAAAAAAAAAAAAGATGACTGTCAGAGTGCCAGCATTTTACTAAAGTGCTTAAAGGCCATAATGATTGTTACCAATCTACTGAATATTTCTGTTATATCCCCTTGGGAATTAGATATTCCTCTTCTTCCCACAAAATGAAAGGTGGAGAAACACTGAAAAAAGTTGTTGCCTTAACCAAAGAGTCAATGAGTTACATAAAATTATAAAATTAGTGTCTTCACTGTGATTATCCTTTGATGTCTCTTTGAACAGACTGTCCCTCACTGCTTTCCAGTGAGGGACAAAGTAGCAATACACCAATGAACTATTAATATTTACACCTGAGTTGTATATGCAAACAAATGCTAAATATTAGCTTTATTTTGCTATGCTATATTAAAGATGTCTTGATCCTTCAAACTAACTGGTAATTTTGTTTTTCCCTACAGGACTAAAAAGAGTATTTGCCCAAAATGAAGAAATACAAGAAATGGCTCAGGATAAATTCATCATGCTAAACCTTATGGTACATGAACTTTCTATTTTCTTAATATTATTATTTAAAGGAAAATTTGAATCCCTTTTCTTCTTTTAAAGCACAAAGAGCTATATGTTGGTTAATACAGAAAGTTATATAGAATTATAAAAGGCCAAAATATAGAATTTACCAACAATCGAGTTCACACAAAATTATCTTGAAATTAACTATCAAAAACAAACAAATCCAATAACATCTTTTTTTCTTTTCCTGCTAGCATGAGACCACCGATAAGAATTTATCACCTGATGGGCAATATGTGCCTAGAATCATGTTTGTAGGTATGTAGGTGATCTCATTTCATCAGATTTATAAAATTAGTAGAAATTAGCATTCTTGCTTTTATTTTTAAATGCTAGTATAAGTACTATTCTTTTTCAAGAGAAGTCATTTCTAATCTAATCATTATCAACTCTGGTTGACTCTACAATCAAAATCCACTATAACTGTAATTTGAAAATTTTGAATATTTTTTCAAAGCATGTATGCTATTAAATCTGTATCCCAATGTACTTTCAGTACAGTGCTTCAGACTAGATTGACTAGAGATCTATGACACACTAAAAGGAGAATTCAGGTTAATTCATCAAGAACTGACATATATGAAAACTAATTTTGCTTATAAATTTGCTTGACATTTGTTTTAGATTAAGAAACAAAAATGATTTTAAGAACATTTTATGGATGCAACTGGAGGTCATTATCCTAAGTAAATTAACACAGAAACAGAAAACCAAATATGCATGTTCTCACTTATAAATAGGAGCTCAACACTGTTTACACATGAACACAGAGAGGGGAAAAATAGGCAATGGGAACTCCACAACAGGGGAAGAAGGGAGGGGCCAAGGGTTGAAAAACTATTGGGTACTATGTTCACTGTTTGGGTGTCGGGTTCCATGGAAGCCCAAACTTCAGCATCACACAACGTATCGATGTAACCAACTTGCATACATAACCCCCGAATATAAAATAAAATTTTTAAAAGAGTAAAAAAAGAACATGCTAAATTATACTTTAGTGACTTGTTTTTTTTCTTGACAGACCCTTCTTTAACAGTCAGGGCTGATATAACTGGAAGATACTCTAACAGATTGTATACATATGAGCCTCAGGACTTACCCCTATGTAAGTATTCACAAGCGACCTGAAACAGTGGTCATAGCTGACTCCTGTTTGTTAAGGGCCAGTGACGCCCTACATCAGTGCTTCTCCACAAACTGCCATCTACAAGCCAGAATCATTGAGGCTAGTGGTGGTATTTAAAATGCCAACTTCTGGCCAGGTGCAGTGGCTCATGCCTATAATCCCAGCACTCTGGGAGGCCGAGGCGGGTGGATTACAAGGTCAAGAGATCGAGACCATCCTGGTCAACATGGTGAAACCCCGTCTACAATAAAAATACAAAAAATAGCTGGGCGTGGTGGCATGTGCCTGTAATCCCAGCTACTCTGGAGGCTGATGCAGGAGAATTGCTTGAACCCAGGAGGCGGAGGTTGCGGTGAGCTGAGATCGCGCCATTGCACTCCAGCCTGGGTAACAAGAGCGAAACTCCGTCTCAAAACACAAACAAGCAAAAAAAAAAAAAAAAAATGCCAACTTCTAGCTCTCACCAAAATCAGAATTTTGGGGCTACCTGAGAATCTATTTTAACAAGGATGCCTAAGGGGTTTTATGATTTCTAAATTCTGAGACCACTAAAAAGAATATAGTACACATTAAAATGACACAAACTTGAGATAGCCCATTCTCCTAGTACCAAATATCTCATGTGATTTCCTCAAATGACGATAATAGTAAAATCATTTCATCTTTCTTTAATGCCTGTAAGCAAGGAGGTACAGTCTTACTTAGGACTTTAATCCTCTTTTTTTTTTTTTTTTTTTTTTTTTTTTGTAGAGACAGGATCTTGATATGTTGCCCAGGCTGGTCTCAAACTCCTGGCCTCAACTGAGCCTCCGGCCTCAGCTGCCCAAAATGCTGGGATTACCAGCATGACGTACCAAGCCTAGCCAAATCTATTTTTTACAACATTCATTATCAACTATATTTAATAAGATAACTGTGCCTGTAAGATCTAGCAATACTAATACAAAATGATCCATTTAAGAAAAAGACATACTACTCAAAACACTACTGATAAAATTGTTCAGCATAAAGATGACCAACCAGCTCTCAATGGTCTAATCCCTAAATTCACATATACACCTTTGGCATATTCTTTAATGTCACAGATGAATTCCCATGTTTTCTAAGCTATTAATTTAAATGGGTTAATTTCAGAGTCTAGAGTTATTAAATCATAGCATTTGTACTTTCATTTATTAATAGCATAATATATATTAACTCTTATTTCAGTGATAGACAACATGAAGAAAGCATTAAGACTTATTCAGATAGAGTTATAAGGGATGACGGAAAAATGCCTTCACTTCAAAGAAGTCAAATTTCATGGAGAAAACCTCTGGAACACCGACAAATACTAAATGTGCAAGTATAGAGATTTTGTAATATTACTATTTAGTTTTTTTTAATGTGTTTGCAATAGTCTTATTACAATAAATGTTTTTTTTTAATCTGAGAATGATAATATAGTTTTATTTCTGCCTCATCAAAGAAAGCCTGCCAAGAGTTATAGTGGAGACAAGAGGACCTAGTAAGAGGTGCCTACACTGTTTGTATCTATTTCTTCACCTCTCCTTCACTCCGCCAACTAATCTAATTTTTAAATTTCTAAACTTTTTTTTTTTTGTAGAGATGCAGTCTCATTATGTTGCCCAGGCTGGTCTCAAACTCCTGGGGCCTGCCAGAGTGCTGAGATTATAGGCCTGAAATGCTGTACCTGGTTCAACCACCAACTATCTAATTTTAATTCTGTCTCCTCTGCTGTATCATACCTGCTAGCGCAGATCATAAATAATCTCCATGTTATCAAAACAAATGGATTCATCTCTGCCCACTTGTGATTTTAACTTTTAGCTACATATTTCAGCATTAACCACTTACTTCTTTTCTTACTTTACACTGATAGACATTTAAAACCTAATTATATTTTTAAAATTCAACTACATTTATTTAGTTAGTTAGTTAGGATAGAGTTTTGCTCTGTTGCCCAGGCTGGAGTACAGTGGCACAGTCTTGGCTCACTGCAACCTCTGCACCTCCGCCACCACCCATTCAAGTGATTCTCCTGCCTCAATTAGCTGGGATTACAGGTGAGCACAACCACACCTGGCTAAATTTTGTATTTCTCGTAGAGACGGGGCTTCACCATATTGTCCAGGCTGGTCTCGAACTACTGACCTCAGGTGATCCACCCACCTCGATCTCCCAAAGTGTTGGGATTACAGGCCTGAGCCGATGTGCCCAGCTACATGTTTTTCTTAATTATTGGGTAGATACTTTAAAACTTTTAATAATTTTAAGGAAAGTGTGACTACTTCAGGAAAATTGAAGAATTTCTCCAATTAACTAGTAGGAAAGGATTTTATTTATTCTTAAATGATTATTCAATCATCAACTCAATTCTTCACAGGAAGCCTTCAGAGAGTTAATACCATGTATTTTATTTATTTAAATAACAACCACAACAAGAAGAAAAATTCCTGCTAATAGAAATCCCAAAATCAGCCAGGAGTAATTACCAGATGGCAGAAAATGTTTTAGAGGCTGGGTGCAGTGGTTCATACCTATAATCCCAGCACTTTGGGAGGCCAAGGCAGGAGGATCATCTGAGATCAAGAGTTCAAGACCAGCCTGGTCAACAAGGCAAAACCTGTCTCTACTAAAAATACAAAAATTAGCCTGGCACGGTGGTGGGAGACTGTAATCCCAGATACTCAGGAGGCTGAGGCAGGAGAATCGCTTAAACCTGGGAAGTGGAGGTTGCAGTGAGCCAAGATCCTGCCCCTCACGGCCAGCCCTGCTGCCACCTCCCCCAAAACCCTCTACGCCCGTTCCTCTTTCTCCATATCTGGGGCCTTAGTCTCTCTTTGAATGGACCGGCAGCCTCCCTCCCACCTCCAGCTGCCTCCTGCCTCATCAGCAGCCAGACTCCGCCCTCAGTAGGGGTGCCAGGCTGGAGTGCAGGAATCCCCATTCCCTAACTCCTCAGCGTGCTGTGCCCCTGGATCCCCCGCAGTGGCCTGGGTGAGCATGGCCCTTCAGCAGGGTCAGCTCCGAAGTTGTCAGGGCCAACAATGCCTGCCTGTGAGTTTAGCTTTGGAAGAAGAAAACACTAACAGAAAGGAGAATTGCCCCTGCTCTTAACCTGGATAAAGTCCTGCAAAAACGGCCTAGTTACCAAGTTTCCTTCTGCTAGCGTCACATAGGTGCAATTCTGTCATCATTTGGGTGCTCCAATAGGACTCTGCTGATTGACAGCCAGGGAGAACGCAGAAGAGGCCTGCACAGGCAGGAGGAGCATCTTTTCCTATTCAATGATCTGTTGTGGCCAAACTCAAATATAACAATAACTGTAAGATACAAAATAAAATTAGATTAACTAGTATGTGGACAGCAAGCTGTGAGGATGAAGAGGAAGAAAGCAACACCAATGCCGTGAGATCCTTCGCTCTGGGCTGACCCACAGGAAATTCTGTGGCCACTTTCAGTTCTCCAGAACAGAAGGACAAATGGCTCTCTCTCCTTCAGAGACACATCCATCTCGAGAAAGAGAAAGATGACCCAATGAGCATTTCCCTCAAAATCTCCACCAAGGACATTGAGAATTGTGCCTATTCTAAAACTATCACAGTAAGGGATTCACAGACAGCAAATGAAGTTATCAGCATATCACCAAGGCTAAGAATAGCTGACTCTGAGAAAGATTAGAAGTTATGGGTCAATTCTGGCAAAGATCAGGCATCATGCCCACTCATTGGGCATGAAGATCTCTATGGAATTAAAATAAGCCATCTTCCAGACACTGCACTGCTGACACCACACCCAAAGGACTCTACCACCCTTTTCAGTCCCCAAGCACCTTTCCTCATGCGCCAACTCTTGGCCTGTGGAGGATGTGGCCAGCCCAGACTCAGAGCCTAGAGTGACCTGTAGTCACAGCTACTCAGCAGGCTGAGGCATGAGAATCACTTGAACCCAGAAGGCAAAGATTGCTGTGATCCGGGATCACACCACTGCATTCCAGCCTGGGCTGCAGAGCAGGACTCTGTCTCAAATAAATAAATAAACAAATAAATGTGTACTTTTTTGTACATGCAGAAACTAGAAACTATTGTTACCTTTTAAAGTTCTTTGGTTTTCAAGGCATTGACAATGTATGTGTATGAAGTCCGTGCTGTTAAATAAAATAACTTTTTGCAGAATTAATCATCACACCAGGAAAAAAAAAAAAAAAACACTGCATTACAAAGTCGGCAAAGGACATGAACAGAACAAACACTTCTCTAAAGAAGACATACGAGCGGCCAGCAAAAATATGAAAAAAAATTCAGTATTGTGAATCATTAGTGAAATGCAAATCAGAACCACAATGAGGTACCATCTCATACCATCAGAATGGCTATGAATAAAATGTCAGAAAATAACAGATGTGGCTGAGGCTTTGGGACAAAGAGACTGTTTATACACCATTGGTGATAATGCAAATTAGTTCAGCCACTGTGGAAAGCAGTTTGGAGATTTCTTAAAGAACTAACAATAAGAACTAAAATTTTTAGTTCTTAAAGAACTAAAAATTACCTTGTGTACCAGCAAATCCTATTACTGGATATATACCCATAGGAAAATAAATTCTTCTACCAAAAAGACACCTGCACTCAATATGTTCATCACAGGACTATTCACAATAGTGAACACATGGAATCAAACCAGGTGCCCATCAACAGTGGACTGGGTAAAGAAAATGTGGTACATACACACAACAGAATACTACACAACCATAAAAAAGAACAAATCATGTCCTTTGTAGCAACATAGATGCAGCTGGAGTCTGATATCCTAAGCAAGTTAATACAGAAACAGAAAACCAAATACTGTCTGTTCTCACTTTAAGTGGGAGCCAAGCACTGGGTACACATGGACATAAAGATGGGAATGATGGATGCTGAGGGCTCCGAAAGGTAAGAGAGGCAAGGGTTGAAAACTGTTGACAGGGTACTGTGTTTGCTACTTGAATGATGGGATCATTAAAAGCCCAAACCCCTACATCATGCAATATGCCCATGTAGCAACCCTGCACATGTACCTCCTCAATCTAAAATAATAAAAAATTGCAGAGTAAAGCAGTATACCTCAAACAGACAGGTTTGCTTGATTTCCTTTCATACCTGGATTTGGAAAATAACGTGCATAAATTTGTGTAAATTACCCAGGAGTCTTAGACAACCCACTTTCAAAATACAGTAACTAGTAGATTTTTTTTGCATTCATTTTGTATAGGGTTTTCCCAGAGAAGAATAATCTCAGAGGCAAGCCCTTCAGGGGAACATCTGATGTGTTATGGTGAATCTGAAATTTTGTCCTTTGGAGAGCTTTTTTTTTTTTAGAGACAGGACTGTCACCCAGACTGTGGTGCATAGTGCAGTAGCACAATCGGAGATCACTGAGACTCGGCCTCTCAGGCTCAAGCCATCCTCCCACCTTGGCCTCCCAAGCAGCTGGGACCACAGGTGCATGTCACCATGCCTAGACAATTTTTTTTGTGAGGGGGACAGAATTTTACTCTTGTTGCCCAGGCTGGAGTGCAATGGCATAATCTCAGCTCACCACAACCTCTGTTTCCCGGGTTCAAGAGATTCTCCTGCCTTGGCCTTTCGAGTAGCTGTGATTACAGGCATGCCCCAACACACCCAGCCAATTTTGTATTTTTAGTAGAGACAGGGTTTCTCCATGTTGATCAGGCTGGTCTCGAACTCCCAACCTCAGGTGATCTTCCTGCTCGGCCTCCCAAAGTGCTGGGATTACAGGCATGAGCCACACCATCCAGCCGACAATTTTTATTTTTTGTAGAGACAGGGTCTCACTATGTTGCCCCAGCTGGTCTCAAGCTCCTGGGCTCAAATCATCTTCCCGCCTCTGCCTCCCAAGTGCTAGGATTACAGGCGTGAGCTACCATGCCCAGACAGGAGGGCTTCTTTTAAAAGCAACAGTAGCTACTTCAAGGAACAAGCCTCTACTACAAATTCATTTTCCAGATTCTATAAGCTTACTGTTGAGTGGCAAAAACAAACATTTCAGGAGAATTCTAAGGTGTAGTATCAGTCAAATGTTTGTCAGTTTAAAATGGGGACTTAATGGTCATTTAAAAGATAAACTAGTATGAGGATGGCTTGAGATTGGGGAAGTGGAGGTTGCAGTGAACCGAGATCATGCCACTGCACTCCAGCCTGGTGACAGAGTGAGGGTCCATCTCAAAAAACAAACTAAATAAATCAAGAAATCAATAAAAAATAAAAGATAAACTACCATGAGCACAGTATCTTTTTTCTGCCCTGCTTTTGGTATTTGCTAGGAATAGTGCAATGTAGATCCCTTTCTTGCTCAGTTAATTTGACAGCAGTCATGCCTGTTGGCATAACTGCAGAATGCCAAATGATCTACTCATTCTTTTCATTATTT